GTGCCGCTTTTCCTTATTGTTGTTTTTCACTTTTATTTTTACCTACATAACCATGATCAAGTGCTCAAATATTCTGTAGCTGTAAACTTGGCGCGATGTAGTTGGTTTTGCAAAGAATTTACCAACAAATATTGTAAAGCAACGCCAAAAGGGAAGTTGCCGGAGTTAGCCGACAACCTAAAGTTGGTTTGATATTGTATAAGCATTTGACCATGAGAAAGCTCTGTTCAACGTAGATCCATCACTTCACTCCAGAATCAAACCGATCGACATCGGTTTTGTGTGAATCTTAACAATGGCAAAACTACATGAATTCAACTTCGAATTATTCCAAAAACTACCGTTTTCGATCCCATCGGCTACTGGCTGCCAAAAAAACTATGTTCTCTCATAACAAATTTTCCTCAAACGAAGAGGTAATCGCTAGAACAGAGGTATATTTTGATGACATACACTGTTTCACAAAATGTGCTATTTTACATACAATATGCAGAAAAAACATTTGTCCGAGCTTTTCGGTTACTTTCTGCTTAATACTTGAAAACTTGAATATTAACTATTTGGAGGATGTCTTTCAAAAGCTATGTGAAGGTCCCTATTTAAGCAGATTGCAAAATTTTTTGTTGAGTACTACACTTTTAAAAGAAAATTAACGAAACCCAATTATTCATTTGAGACTGCGCAGACGTCAATCGCAATCTGTTAAGAGACCAAGCATGGGAGACGTAAAATAAAACAGATTGTGAAAATCCTCAAAAAAACGGAAATGGCAGGTACCTACCAATAATTCACAGACTAAAGTTATAAAAGGATTTTCGCACCTCATTTAAACTTCTTCCCCCTACCCGCTTTTCCCTATCTAGATGGCATATCAGCACCAGTTTAATAGTTTTCAAAGTGTCAAAAGTTGTGAAGGGCTTCTGGTGATAATGGAATTTGCAATAAACAATATTCTGCAAACCCTCAAAATAGTTCTTTAATTTTAATTTAATCTATTACAAAATGCTTTTAAATGTTTAAATTATGCAAGTATTTTTCGCCAACAAAAGTTTTTCGAAATGTTTGAAAACAATTTTAGACAACTTACCTTCAAACTGAAAATTAATTTAAGTAAAAATAAAGGTTTCCATATGTGGCCACCTATCGGCAAGGAATACCAACCTCTCTAGAGTGTATTTCTAGCATGAAATAGAAAAAACTATAGGACCTTTCATTTTTTGAAAAAATCTCAAGAGCTCGATCGAGAGTTTTGCTCAGCGGTTATAAAACGCCAATCAAATATATTTATACATACATATTTTCATATATTATATATACATATATACATATGTACATATTGTACGTATGCATATACCATATATTGTAGAAACATATACATACATATATATTTTATATCAGCCATCGTCTAACCATACGCGCGGATTGACGTACTATCAAATGTTCTCAGTGACGAGGAAAATCTTAGTTTACCTAACAACCTATTCCTAGTTATTTTTAACTTCGCTAATAAAATACGATTCTTTCGGTCAATCAGAAACGGGAGTGAAAAAATGTCTTCTGATCCGCCGGACAGAGGCACCAATATATTTTCGTCTTAAGTGACCACACGGACGTTTCAACCTCTTTTGCTAACCTTACTCAAAAGCAAACTGCATTTAATCATCCTAAATAAACTATAATCCCTTCAATGGATATAAACCATATTAAACTTAGTCCATTCGCGTTGATGCCATATAAACATAAGTTTACAATATCAAACAATTGAGAGTCGGATCACTGCTTGCAATTGTAGAAATAGCAAAAATCGGCGAAAAATTTGAAAAAACTAAATCATTCTACGGTCCTTGCAACATTACAGTCAAACTGCATGATAACTTCAATACCATTAAAGGAACACTGTTCGTACCTTGCTTAATTACCCAGAAAAAATACGAAAAAATCTCTCTGCCACTAAATACAGCAAACAATTTCCAAACGAATAACAATATCAATACTACCGCCAATACTATAACCTCAACATTCTCAACGATCACACAGCAACTTCCCCCTAACAATAGCTATCACGATTCAGAAAGAGTAACCAACCCAATAAACACCACCAATAACCAAACTAGTTTATCCTCTAAATACGATTAAATAATATATTAATTAATATTATTACATAAAAAAAGAATGTNGCGTTGCTCAATCGTATACACAACCATTTTCGTTCAGCGGAAGGATAAAACTAACTTTCTGTCAAATCAGATGTAACATCAGTGTTACCACACTCAAAATAACCACTAGTTCAAAAAAAAAAATGTTGGATGGCGGACGCTGTATATACGAATATGTAAGAGGGACATCGGATAATGTCGCGACCTAATGTAGTTAGAAATGACACATACTCTAGAACAAGCAACATTGCCATGTCAACGGAAACTGAAAATTCTCGCAATTTGGAACACCGCGATGTGTTTAAAATCCATGTAGAACAAAAAGTTAAGGACTTTACCTCTTCATAATGCGATGTTTTAGCAAGGGAGAGAGACCTGTGAAAGTGATCCACGCCCAGAGCGTCCCTAGCGACGTTCGTGACCTAAGAAAATGTTAAGGAAGTCTGAAAATTACCACTGGCTGATCGCAGAAGTATTACAGATTGGCAAAGGCAGAGTTGGAGAGATTTACATGAACATATGAATATAAAAAATTAGTGCGCTTCCCCATCTATAAATATCAAGTCAGCTTGGAAGATTATGGCTACCGTTTTCCGGGATAGCGAGGCAACATTTTTAATTGATTACTTCTAGTCGCTATTTCTTTATTTCAAATTTAAAATAGGAGTTATGGGGACGAAGATTTTTAGACGACAGTGAGATGAAAACAAAAATGTAAAGTGTTTTTCACTTGAATAAATAATATAAAACAAAACATAAATAAACAAAAACATAAAACTATACATTTGTTTCTTTAAGTGCTGTGGGTCGTGAAAAAGTCCTCAAATTGAGAGACATCTAGGCCACGCGGGTTTTCTGAACCTTCATCTTTGCTTACAATTTCGTGGTTATTATTTATTGATCCAGCTTTAGTTGGGATTCTTGTATTGCTCCGACATAAATCAAATCTTTCTTAACAATCACTTTGATTTTTTGATTGAATCCTAAAGTACATAGGATAGGATTATTTATTAAATAACACACACCGCTTTCCATATACATACGCACTCGTTTGTCGAAAATTTGCATGATTATTCTACACATATGTAGCTGAATATCACTGATGCAACGTTGCATCTGTAGGACCTTCCATTTGTTGAAAAAACATCCAGACGAACAACCACAAATTGGAATAAGAGCTCGGCCGTAAATCGCTTCAGCGCCCATTATATAACGTTGAATCTCCTCCTCTAAACCAGACGTGGTTGTGGGCCTGTTGCAATAGACCTGTGATTTTAATTAACCCCCCATAAATCATAAATCACATGTTATGGTCCCACGATTACCAAAACAAGACACTACACGAACTGGAAATGTCTCACTCAGTAATTGAAGTGTTTTACTCTTTGGCTGCATAGCATGCGGCACCGTCTTGTTGAAACCACATACTGTGCTACATCAATATCATCCAATTTCGGCAAAAAGAACAACTCCTTCCCAAAATCTACACTAAACAGTGGCGTGTTAAGATGCATTAGTTTTTCGGCAGTCATATGTGGCTTTTTAGAACCCCAAAAGCAGTGCTTTTAGCAAATAACCAACTCATCAAGGTGAAAATGTGCTTCATCGCTTGGGATCAATTACACGTTATTCTAAAGCTCTGTTAGAGTTACGTACTGCCATTTAGAGAGCCAAAGGTTAAGTCTAGGACCGAGCTAAATCCACAAATTTAAGAAAAATTATCTAAATAAAAAATTAAGTTAAACTTTCTAATTGCGGACGCCCCTCGGTCAAAAAGGTCAAGACCTCTGAGTTTATTGCTGGCAAGAAATGAAAGCTCCTCATAAAAAACCGTCAGCCGTTCGGAGGCGACTTAGTACAAATTGTAGATCCCTCCATTTGTTGGAAAAAAACAAGACGCAAAACTACAAATTGGAAGAGGAGCTCGGCCAAAAGTCGCTGTCAGCTCTCGATTCGTTTTTTTAAGTTTGTCATTACTTTACTACATAAATGGTGACAAATTTTGGACACCCTGCATTAGGCGTGTAAGCTACATTCTGTGTATGTATGTATGTATTTATTAATTTGTGTCCTATTGTACGACTACTTTTTTAGTGCATGAATATGGCACCTACATATACATCTATTGTTACAATTATTTTTGGTCAATGATTCCCACGACCCGCTTAGTCTATTGAATTCAATTGTGCTTTATTTATGATGTCGTGTGTCTATACTCGTTTGAAATCTCTTGTCGGGGATATACCCGTACATATGTAAACGTCTTATTTTGGTTTTGGAATTCAACGCCCAAATTTAATTTTCCCGAAATGCTTCCTACTCAGTTGTTTTCATTCTCTTCAGTTAGTTTTTCCCAAAATTCGTTTGAGTGCGCCAGCGCTTGCGCATGTGGTATTTCTTGCCAAATATTATACCCAGAAGGATATGAAAATTTTGATGAAATATACAACAATTTTGATTTCAACTCAGTTCATTTCCCGAATAATTTTGTTCAATTTTTATTTTATTGAGGTCGCGTAGTTACTTCTTTCTAATTTTTTTTAGTTTTTTGGCTTCAGCCAATGACCCTTCGATAATACACATGTTACCGATGTTAAGATGTATAGGGCATACATAATAATAGTTTTTGTTCTGAAACCAAACAATGAGGTTTAGTGTCCGAAAATACTCAGAGAGTTAACTTATTGCGCGCGCCTTGGAAGGTAAGCTTTCCTCTCTTTAGCTACAAAAAGCTTTTCTTAAATTTCTCAAAGGATAACAACTGCCTACATAATATGAACGATGAAAGCTTAAGCTAAAATAAGTATCGATTGCTCTCATTTTAATTTTCCACACATTTTCCAGGGGTGGTATATGTGTAGATTTTAGCCGTCATGGATCCCAGTGCTCTACAAAACATGGATCGGGACGCATTGAAAAAACAAATAGAGAACATGAAGTATCAGGCATCGATGGAGCGATGGCCGTTGTCTAAGAGTATTGCAGAGTGAGTATTAGATTTAAAAATATTTATAAAGTGAAAAATATTTAAAGTGTATTCAGAGGCAGTTAAAAATATTATGTGCACAAAAAATGTGCATAATACATATGTAACTTTTGTGAAAATATGTATAAGCATAAAATGAAATGAGTGAGTGACGGGCGCACACGCCTAAAAATATGTATAGAAATTTACTGAAATTTACCAGAGTGCCTTACCTACTGTCTACTTGTATACAAATATGTACATACATACATACCTACGTAAATATATTTAGTATACCTCGTTCGCTACCAATCGGCACATAGTATATGTGTATATGTGACACAACTTCTGTCACCACCGCCCAACATTACACATTGTATTTTTATATGTGACAGATAATTTTGCACAATTTACAAAAGCATATTTGAACATGTCAAGTATTTGGCCAAAGTGTTGTGTTCTAAAACTGCAAAATTTATGATGCAGTCTGCTCTCGCTGACACGAGGACTACAGCATTCAGTTATTATACATACCCAGCAGCAAATGCTAAGGCACTTGGATTCGAAGAAGTAAAGTGAAAACTGTAACCGGAAGTCATGTATTTTTTCGTTCTTTTATAGCAACGTTACTACCATATCTATCAAATTAAAGGTTACTTCAGGGAGACAGACCCAGTTCTTGCTTCCTCAAAAAACAAAATACCACTAAAATTTAAACTATCACCAGGCGCCTGCGCCAACATGTCGCATTGGCAACAATAAATATACATGAATCGTTTTTTTTTGTTTATTTGTTTTCTTTTTTTTTTTTTTGACAGGGTAATTTGTGTTTGCCATCACTCCCAAAAGGTAATAATTTGCCAAATTTGCTAGAGGGATATGTTAACGTAACATATATTTTTTTTATGACAACGAACTTGGGTACGCCTGTATGCGCCTGGAGAATAATCAAAAAATCCGGCAGAAAGGTGACCGAAAACCGGTGACTATCCGGACTACCGTGAATCCGAGAACGAACACGGATAGACGCAATTACACTTGTCTCTTACACTATACAGCTACAGATTTGGTGTTAAATCAGTTGCTATAAATTACAACGTAAAAGGAGAAAAAACTTTACTAATTTTTTAAAGCTCTTAGTAAGTAGGTTTTGGATACAGAGGAACGTGTCAGAGGAATCAATAAGCCTCCATACAACTGAGCCGTATTCCAATATGGGTCTAACAAGTGGAGTAAAAAATTATTTTGTAATATATGTTAGGGTCGTTGAACATCTTGAAAGCCAAGTGGGATTTTGTCTTATTAGCACAAGAATTTTTTTATGATTTCATAAGTCTAGCTTAGGATCCATTGTGTCACCTTAATCGATGAAGTGTGCAACCTACGTTTCTTTTTTGCTACTAAAGTAAACCAATCTAAATAAAACATTGAAATTAAAAATCCAAACTTTTTTATTTATTCTTTGAAAATGAATATTAATGTAAATATAAATATAATATTTATTTGTATATATGGATTTCTTTTGATAATAGATTTCGAAGATAATTAAACGTAGATAACCAATTTTCGTAAAACCTGAAGCAACTCATTGAAATTTTCTCTTGATATATTGCTATCCATTCGCCATTGTGATATATTTTTAACTATACTTTCACTACTATCGCTCGAACTTTGCATAAGACTAATCCAATTTTCACCAATTTTAACATCCAGAACATTGGACCAGAATTATTTATATTTAAAATAATTTGCATCCCTGCATTAGTAAGCCGTTTTTCGCATCGTTTTTAATAGATAATTAACAGCGCGGCTTATGTATTTAATAATTTAATTTATAATTATTTAATTAAAAATTTTAAAATCACTTTTTCACCCATCTGCGCTGTTGTACCGCGACGGACCAAAAGAATACTAAAACGCTTTTAAATAATGCTTAAATTCTTTTCTTTCGAAATGTTGTCATTCTGGGAAAAAATCATTGAGAACAAAAACGATACTACTTTTACATATTTTTAAATTCATCGATGAAGAAATTTGCCTGGGATTTGCCCCTTAAGTCAGTTAGAAAATACATATGCAGTTATTGTGTATTTTACTGCTTTAGACTGATCACTTCTGTAAATTAAACCAATGATCATTCCGCATCCCCATGTACATATGTTAGTTATTCTGTTCTGAATATCCTATGGCATCTCTGCGTTAATATTCAACGGTGAATTCAGCATTTGGAATTTCCAGCTGGCTATTACCTACTAGTGTTTTACTTATTACCGTTTACTACTGGGCTATTTTAAATACACAGTCATATACACATATATATGTACATACAGATTAACTTGTGTCTGTGTGTAAACTCTCTTCAATTCATTCCACAAAATTAACCTCTAACACGCCTTGAAGGCGGCCTAGATAGATAGGCATTTGAATTCAATCACTGAATTTAGGAAAGAAATGAATATAAGAAGTTTTTTTTTTTTCTATCACAATTATAGTTCTGTTCGGTGACCTGATGGGTAGTAACAATTTTTACTAAATTTTACTAAATCGCGTTCAGTGAGCCAAAAAAAACAGTAAAATCATTAATGAGAAAGCGCAATTTTGACGTTTATTTTAGGGGGAAAGTTGCAAATTCGTACTGGGAAAATTTAATCTAGTAAAAACTAGCAAATGTGAAAAACAGCTGATTTGTGATCATAAGATTGAATTTTCGCCAACAAAACAAAATTGATTTAAAATGAAAATAATTTAAATTCCTTCATATGAATTATATGCCAACAAAATAAGTGGTTAAGTGTAATGATGTTTAATTTAACTCGTTAAACGAAAATATGGTGGCAATTTACCAGAAAGCAGTGACGACCACTGGAGTCGCATAGCGAATTCAAAGCAAACTTGCTGCTACAGTCACAGTGACGATAATGCATTCATTCCTGAACTTCCAGAAGTGACGATGGTGTACAAAATGAAATATTAGTAGTATTTAGAAGGAAAAATAAAACTATTGCTTGTTTTTTATTTAAACAAAATCGAATAAACTCTATAATAATGTTGAGTTAATATGGCCGGCTTACACGGAAAAAGAATTTAAGAATTATTTTCGTATCTCAGTTATCCTTCCTGAAAACATAAGCGACAAATTTTTGCCAAGTAGTCCTCGTCCTTTTAGAGAACCTCTTGGAAAAACTTATTGATATCTTTGTCGTTGGGCGGCTATGAGGCATAAATAACTTCATCACTGTTAAAAAGCCATAAATTTTGAATATAATTAATAACTTAAAAATGTCAGATAGTTGTCAATTTTATTAAATCACTTAGTAAAATACTGTTCGTGGAAAACTCAGTAAATACCTTTCTTTTGTAGATTAAAACGTCTCAATCTCATTACTAACTGGTTTTACTGTTATTTCTTAACGAACACAGCTAATATTAATGAAAAAGAAGTGATTAAATATAATTTTGTTAAAATTAACTGAATGACGATTATTTCGCGAGTTCACGATTGAAATAAATAGTTAATGTACTCGTTAAACGAAGATATGGTGGGATTGGAATGAGACATCGCCCGCACACCACACACAGCTTAGATTGGGGAATTGGAAGTTAGAAATGTTGAGGGCTCAGAATTTTATTATAAACTTATTTTTTGTACAATGTAAGCCGATTTTTGATTCTTTTAATTTACTTAAAAGCTTTGTCGACCAAAAGTTTTCGAAAATCGCTTTTAAAAGGAAAAATAAAGCTTTTGCAATAATATTATTCAAAAAAAAAATTTTAATATTGACGGCTTCTATGAAAAAAATTTTTTCAAACTCATGTTCGTAATTCAATCATCCTTCTTGAAAATCTAAGCTACAAAGCAAGTTTTACATAAATCTTCTGAAAAATACTATTGGTATCTTTATGGTTTAACGGCTACGAATCATGCAGAGTTTGGGTAAAATTAGTACATTAAAAATGGCATATTATTTTTAATATTATAAAATAAAAGTACTTAAAAACAGAAAAAATAACCTGCAAAAATACACGAGTTCAAATGTAACTGTCAAAATAAGCAGCTACTAATACTGTAAATCCTGTTCGGTGAAAATTCAGTAAATGTTTTTGTTTGGAAGAGAATAAATCTTACTCTTTCAATTTCGTTACTTTTTAACTCTCACCGAGCAGAGTCTGTATTTTATTCAATAAGAGTGAAATTATATAATAATATAACGTACCTTAATATAACGAATTTCTCGATTTAACAAATTTTCCATAATCTCCTTGAGTTGATCATAAGAGTCGACGTAAGATATACATTAAGACCAGAAAGTTTCCGGAAAGTGTCATTTAAACTGCTCGCGCTGAATATTTTTCAGCATTTTTTTTAAGTTCGCACTGTTCTTAATTACTAAAAACAAAAAAATGAGCGCGATCTGTCAATCAATTTGTTTGCAGCAGCTGTTGAAATCAGTCGACTTCAGTTCCCTCTGCGAATTTTCTTTTACGGCCTTAATCGCGTTGAAACGGGTTCCACAGAGTGGTAACTTTAGTTTTGGAAACAAAAAATGTCACGAGGTTGATCAATGGTATTAAACGAGTTGTTCGGTCTTAAAAACGTTAACAACTACAGCGATGGCGAAGGTGCATTATCGCCATAAAATATCCATGAACCGACAATTCCGGCCATTTACGATGGATGTTTTCTCGCAAATGCCTTAAAGCGCTCAACTAATACTCTCTATTGACAGTCAGTCCCGTTCGAGTACCGAAAATAAAACAATTTCCGGAAAGTTTCTGGTACTATATCGCTTCGGAATTCGCGGAAGTACATTGGCAGCGGGTTGCCTGTAAAAATTGGAAGATTAAAATCATACAAGGTCAAAGTACCGAGGTAAAAGGTCTTAATCGCTGGGTCAATCCTTCAGAAAAAGGCTCGGTAGTTTTCAGTAAAATTGGGACATGCAAAGTTCTTTGCTAGCAACGGGTGGGCTTAACATCTCAAAAAACAAAACCTCTTTATAACGAATTTTAGACCAACGTAA